AAACGGTTTTGGGGAGCCCAGGTCAATTTATGAGTCACACTCAATTTATGTCAGAGCAGTCTGATGACATGAGCACTGAAATCACGTCTTACAGGAGTGTGTTTCAAATACAATCTTATTTACCCTCGATATTATACACCTATTTACTATTCATTCCATGAATGTCTCTATGGCTTTGGAATCTGAAAATTATGTGCAAGGTGACAGAAGTACTGAAGATAAAACCTGAAGTATTTAAAACAAAGCAGAAGTACAGAGAAGAGATGGATCACAGGGAGTAAAATGACAGGTCATCTCTCACAAGTCATTGACCATCAGATGTGCACAGCAGGTTGAACCACTGGGCTCTTGCAGTGCTGACATTTGAATGGCCAAATCCAAGCAATTGCACAACCCCTAGGGTGGAGATTGTGTCCATCAAGAACTGCCCTGACCCTCTGCACGCCTACATATACATATATATCTCAATTGATACTGCATTGATCTGTTGACAAATATGAAAGTGAGGCCACATTTTTGTTTAATCTTTGGCCAATGACTTGGCTACTAGAGGAAATGCCTACAAACTCAATGGCTTGGGAGGAATGAGAGGTATCTAGATATCTCAGAGCAAATGACTCCTGAGACACATTTACCTCATAGGAAAAAAAAAGGTCTAGTTTACATCCTACTCAGTCTGAGTTAAATTATGAATTCCAGTGAACGAAATGAGGTAACACTCCTGCAATAGTATCTGGGTGAAACATCAGCAAAAAGCTTTTCCTTTTATTCCTCTACCACTTTGTTCTCACTAGGTAAGAAACAGTTCCTAGGGTGCTTTATCATATGTAAATTTCCCTTCAGTGCAAGGCTCGTCACTTCATAAACAATGCAGTAGCAGGTAGTCTGGTTACAATAAAAGGATATTGCTGAAATTGCATAACATCATTCTTCTACCTCAATTTTACAGTAGAAAAGACTGGTTAATGATGTAAAATGTGAGTGTTGTAATTCAATATTAGTACAGTTATTTTTGCAATCATTGTTAGTAAATTCATTGCAAAACATTTCACATTTTTCTCCTCCGGAAAAAGTGCAACATGTGTGTGCTAAATGACTAAAATAAAGTCATACTAATTTTAACTGGAAACTACAGTTAATAATAGTATGTTATGACAATATGTCCATAAACAATTTAATTACAGGTATAAGTTGAAATGATAACTTTGTGCTACTGTCACAAAGACCATAAAATACTTACAGAATGAGTAATTTGAATCTAATAATTCAAGTGGCAGTTGGAGAAGCAGTGGTCCCTTTTCTGGATCATACACATGATTTCAGTGGGCTCTTTGCAAAGAGTTAGTGCTTTTATTCAGATTTAATAGACCTTGCTTTGTTTGTTGCATGTCAAGACAAGGCGATTACTTAGTTACACATATACATATCTTGTTCCCATACTAAATCAAAAATCAAAATAATCTTCTAAAACAATTTGGTAAAAAATAATTTTCAAAATTACACTGATTTTTGAAGCAAACGCAGAGACTGACTGGTGTTCAGAAGAACAGCAGATGGAATGCGTCAGGCAGAGGTACAAAACCCAGTAGCTCTAGTGAAATCTGTAGTAGTATGTCTGAAAAGTAAAGCAGTCTTCATTTGGAATGAAGGTTGAAGAATTTAGTACTTAAATAGCTGCTATAGTCCATAGATTTGTCTCCAGCTCCTGCACTGCAAATTAAACTACAGACTGGAGTGACAAAGACAAGATAATTATCTCCACTAACATTTAACAGGGGTAGTTATCAGTGTCAGTCTTACTGTCCTCCTTTGTGCTTCAGTAATTCGTAATGAAGGTGTAGCAGGAAAAAAATTAAAAGGAACTTTTTACACATTTACCTTTCACAGTCAAGCTTTCACAAAGCCCTTTAAAAAGTGATGAATGCAACACTGACAACATGACTTCTCTAAATGCAAACAGTGTGCCAGTTATATCCAAAACAGTTGGTCCAAGTCAGGTTCGGGCTGGGAGGCTGTTGTCCAGGGGCAGCAGACTGAACAGTCATTGCTTACCTGGATTGTAAGTTGCTTCACCTGCCCACTGGTTTCTCCAGCTGCCAAGAAAGGAACAGCACTGACCTTGCAAGATCAAGCAAGTTCCTTGTTTATTATTATTCAGAATCTCAATGGTTTGGTGGAAGGTGCCTTAAAGACCATCTTGTTCCACTCCCTTCAACTATCCCAGGTTGCTCCAAGCCCCATCCAACCCAGCCTTGGACACTTGCAGGGATGGGGCAGCCACAGCTTCTCTGGACAACTTGTGCCAGAGCCTCACCACTCTCACAGGGAACAATTTTTTCTTTAATATTCCGCCTAACCCTGCCCTCTGTCAGTGTGAAACCACTCCTCTCTTGTCCTGTCACTCCATGCCCTTGTAAAAATTGCCTCTCCAGCTCTCCAGCTCTCTTGGAGCCCTGTTTTATACCTGAATATAAGACTTTTCCTAAATTCTAACAGCTCCTTGCTGATTAAAAAAAAAAAAAAAAAAACCTAAACAAAAGGCACAAAACACTTTTGTGAGAAATATATGAAGATGTGCTCTGCAAGGTTTCTAGCTTTTGTTACAATAGTTCTGGCAATATTACTTTTTCTTTAGATTTAAAGGGAGGTAATTCTAAAGGTTATTATTCTGAAGGATATTGAGTTAGGATAAGATTCTCCTCAATTTATGCATTTCTGATCATAATAATGCCTTTCATTCTCCAAACCTTGCATTCAGAAGACAGTTATGATGGTGCAAAAGTACTTTTTTCTCTAGTCTTGTTCTGAATTCAGACCTAACACTACTTTCACACCAACACGGATGCCCTAGAGTTTAAAGAAAAGGTTCAAGTGCCAGTTTTAAGAAAGACAGAGTCCTTCCTGCTACTATTCATAAGGGCTCTCAGAGTTAATGTAAATGAAAATCAGATTTCAAATATTACTTCTGCTTCCCATTCTTTTATCTTGGATCACTCACTAACGGAATTACGTGTCTTAAATGAGATTTTGAGCTAACACAAAAATGGAAACATTAACGCCCACTTTGTCTTCAATTCTGTGAAGGCAAGTTTTGACTTATGGCTGCACACCAGCATGAAAAAGGACAAACATTATAATTAAAACCAATATCATGACAACACTGGAAAATTATACCTTGTTTATTATCTGGAATCTCGTGATGTTAAAGTGTACTTCCATTTTGAAGAAGCTCTCCTCAGACTTGGTCATCAAGTTACAGCAGCAAATTGACTTTGATAATTACATGTAACAAGGCTACACAATGTAACACAGGTAATGAGATTTTAATTCACCAATTCATCTTGTGAATGAGTACAAGGAGTAGCAATCAGCCTCCGCATGCCTTTACACACTTCTAGTGCTAGTTATACCCTGAATGTGTGTTAGCCCACCTGCAGAGCCATTATTTTTGCAGTCCCATTAGGAAGACAGGTTTTGCTCTCATTTCAGGGACCTATTACAAAATTCATTCAGACAAAGATGACATATCTTTTTAATAGTTTGCCTGTCTAAGGAACAACACAAGGAGACACAAGTTATCTTGGTGTGCCTTTCCCTGTGCTGGGAGTAGGGAGGGAGGGAGGGAAGGCAGGGATTGCACAGGGAAGGATGGTTTTCATTACTAGTACATACTTTGCTATAAACAAGAATCCACTTCCAAAAACCACGAATCTGACTGTTTAAAAAACAAAAAGAAATTGCAACTTTTTAACTTTTATCCTCTACATCCCCTCCTTTCTACATTAGCAACATAAACCTTTTATGTATGGAATGAAGCAGCCTATGTGAAATAAATGCTCTTGCTTCTGTGCAGTTAATGGGTAGGAGAGGAACCTTTAAAGATCTCCACTGAGAGGAAAACTCTCCAGCCTGGATATCATTGCAGTTCAGAGGTTTACACCCCAGACACATCCATGGCTAGTTGGTCTCCTCAGGCCCCTCCCTTACAAAGCACCTTTCCTGCTTTATTAGGGCTCAGAATATTCACATACAACCTATTTACATAATTTAACATCCATAGTGTCTTGGATTGTGCATGATCATGTTGCTTAAGAGATTATACACTTGAAATATAAACCACAATGACAGGCAACTATTTATTTTTTGAAAGCTAATTTCCTGGTACTTTTAGGAAGAGCTGGGCTTAAGTAATCTACTTTCAATCCAAAATTAAAATGTTCAGTGAGGAAACTATGTCAATCAGGATCTGGTTCTGGATCTGTTTCCTGGATCGGAGTAAACGAACTTCACTAAAATGTGTAGCAATTTATGATGTAAGATATGTCCCAAACCAATATATCTTCAAACAAATAAAAAGGAAAATCAGGTTCATAAAAGTTGTAAAAAAATGTTTCTGCAGTTCTGGTATGTCCTATTTTTATTTGTTTTTACAAATGAAAATTTCTCAAGTTCCCAAAAATATAATTTTTGGGGAAAACACACTTTCCATTTGAACATTTCCAGCTGATATACTTTGATATAGTTTTCAATAAATAAGCTGGCAATAGCGGTCTTTAGCTTGGTGGTATCTCAAAAAATAAGTTTATATAATGCAAAAAATTATTCCAGGTTTAAAGATTTGAAAGTAGTTTGGTTTCCGAACTTCAGGACATTGGTGGTTTTGGTTTTAATAAAAAATTAGATTTTGTCATGTTATTAGTTACAAAGCTTTTTTTTATTAAATAATTCTGTAGCTCTGTTTTAGACCTTTTTACCACTGGTTTACAAGCTTTTAACTTTAAGTGATTGAATTGGAAATTTGCCTATCTTTGTATCTGCCATCATAATATAATATACTCTATTTTTCATCTACAAATGACCTGGGGAACTCACACTTGCTTTGTGCTACAGTTTAAATCCCTTGGCTTCAGAACGTTATGTTTGTGTTTCAAAGAAATTTTCTTTTAGTGAGACTCTTGTTATTCAAATATATTCTGTCAATTCAGTAACAGCTTGGGAAAATGAAATAAATTAAAAAATAGCTTGTAAATACTCAGCACAGACTCAGTAGTGTTTAGCAGTTTAATTTTTTCAAGGCTTTCTTAACTGAGTGTGGTTTAATCCCTCACAATCACTATTGCCAGACATCTGTTATTGCCACTGAAAGGCAGATTACAATGAATCCTCTGGAAATGCTTTCCTGAAATGAAAGTAGATGTGATGAATCAGATCATATAAGAGACTCAGATAATATATTCTAAGAAACAGAAAAGTTTAACTACAGGAAGGGAAGACAGAGACGTCTATGGAGGAACAAAACTAGAGTTGGGGATAGACCAAGGGGCAAAATGAAAGGATTGGAGGGGATGAAAGGAAACACCAGAAAACCTAAAAAAAGAAGTGCAAGTCCTTGTATATTGGTCACTGTCTTATTTTCTCTGATTCCTTTTGCTTTCTTCTCTTGCTCTGTCCTGCTCACTAGAGTGAGGGAAAGACACTTGCCAAGGGATTCTGAAATAAACAACTGCCAAACTGTCTCATCTGTGAAACAGCACTACCCATTTCACACTTGCCTTCGAGAAAAACTTCTGCATCACTGCCTAATCATGAGTACAGCGTGAAAAGCATTCTACATCATTAATTATCCCAATTAAAATTATATTAATGGGACACCTCGTGCTGTTGGCTGCATAGATCTTGCAAAGTGTTGAGCCACAAGGATGGATGCCAAGAGAAGTCATCTACAGTCCATCTTGTAAATTTCCAACCTGCAGTGGAAGGGTTGGGAAACTTGATCACACGCTTGCCTGAAGTTCTTTCTTGGAAATCCCTGAAAAATAACTGCTAGCCTCAAGAAAATTGGCTTTTTTTTGGCCAAAGTTTGGAATATTTTGGGTAACAAAATTATCTTACGCCTGTTTAGAGTCATATTCCTAGTTACTTGGTTGTTAATAGGTAAATCCTGTAAAATCTTTGAATTTAAACTACAGATTAGACAGAAGAACAGTGAACTAAGAGCCTAATCTCATTATTAAACTTACAGTACTACAAGGTCAGGTTCTAATTTTCAGCAAATACTTTACCTACATTCTTTATAAAACAAAAAATTTCTTTTAAATAATTCATTAAAGAGGTAGTAAAAATGCAAAAACTCCTGACAAAACATAACTATAAACTCATAAAGTAGATTCCAAATTATTTTGCGAAAAGAGTACTGTAAAAATTTTTTTTAAAATGTTTATTTACAGGGAAAACTGTTAACAAATTGGTGTTTGTTATCTGTGTTTCCGCTTGTTTTCAACTCATGACTCTTCTGGTGGACAGTACTGCCTAATGAATTTAAACAGTTGTCAACATTTGCCTGTACTGTGAATTGAGATGCAGGTTTTTCACAGGCTTGACAAGGTAAATATCATTTAACCTGCCAGGGGCATGTAAATCATAACATATCACACTATATTAAACTCTTTAATTTCCAGATAAGTTCTTTAAGTGGTGAAACAAAGAACATAATAAAAGCATTCTGGAAATGGCAATCACCTTTTTTTAGAGATGTACATCAACAAATATAAATTACAACAAATATAATATCTAATTTCTTATGAGCTGTTCCATGGGCCTCAAATCAAAAAATCTAAAACCTTCAGAGTTAAAAGTATGACCAACAGATTTATCAACATGCTAATTGTATTAGGCCTTCATTTCCAGCTTAGTTTCGTTCTCCTATTTTTATGGCATTACTTTTAAAATGTGAACAAAAGAGGGTTCACTAAACCTCTCAATCTAAAAACTCTTCAGAGCTAGAAATATTTTATGTATTGACAACCAACACAAGAACAAATACCTAGAAAAAGATTAACAACATCCCAGCATGACCCTGTCCTCAAGTTCATCCTCTGCAAATAAACAACTCTCTGTGAGCCCCAGTTTCTCTTGAGCTGCTTGAGGAAAAAGCTCAAAGAATTAGTTCAATGTGAAAAATTCAGGAAAAGAAATCCTTTTGGAGGAATGGGGAACCAGCAGAGAGATAAGGAAAGAATAGCTCAGAGTTCAGAGAGTCTTGAAAACACTGAAACTTCAATAACACAGGTCCTTGAGTCAGCACTGTTTAGAAGGGGAGACAGAGACAGGGAGCACATACCTCAAATGGACTAAAATATTACAGTCCTGGAAAAGCAGAAACTGCTCTATTGGTGTATGATTTCAGCCTCTTTGGACAGCAGTGGAAGGCCTACATACAACTCAAAGAAAGAATGACAGAATAAAGAGCTCGAATATTTAGAAGATAAGCTACAATTACTTTCCTGATTATTATTTATCTGTTGATATTGGAATAAAAACTATAGTAACTTCAGCAAAAGCAGTAAAAATTAGAGTGGAATAAAAATAATTCCATCTAAACTCTGCTATTTTGCCATAATATTCAGCCTATGTTTTCTCTCTAATTTTGTCCGATTATAAATAATCAAATTCTCTAATATAAGCAACTGGTTCCCTTAATGAATTACTTTTCACAAAAACACATATTCTTTCCTTATATTCTTAGTTACCTTTTGCCATGAGTACATATTTTAAGCTGTTAAATTCTAGCTTGATTGATATCTTTCCTTCCTGAAGCAGGAAGGAAGGGTCAGGAACTTAAATCAAAATCGGGCAGAAAGTAGAGCAGGAAAAAAAACCACCCAAAACCCAATCAACCAACCAAACGAACAAACAAAAAAAACCCCCAAGAAATAAAAGGTAAAAAAAATATTTTTCATTCACTTTGTCTGTCATAACTGGCTAGACTGTATACAACATTTCTGTGCTTTCTTCCCCCAAGAAAACTGTTGCAGAATTTATCAGCCTTAAGAGACTGTGATTGCTAATCCTTCCCCGCATTTCCTAAAATTCTGAATAAACTTTGTTGTGAAGAGATAAGTACAGCAGAAAGAGAAAAAAATTATGTTATTTTTCCCCTTTCTTGACTTGATGCCATTGCCATTGAGGATCACACACATATTCTGATTCTTTTCCTATATCATAGCTGGTTTCACAAACCAAATGTGCACATGTGCTTCTAAAGGTTCAGTCAACCAAGAAAGAGAGAATTTAGTGTTTCCTGTGTGCAATACTTACATGGGAAACTCAATATGAACTTTTAGTTCCTTTCTATTCTCCTTCTTTTTTCAGCCTCAACACAATGTCAGAAAAATAGGGACTAAGATTTCAGAGTAGTGTTGGAAGAGGTGGGAAAAAGTTGCACATTGAAAGGGGGAGTTTCTTTTTCTTGAATTCTACTGCTGAGCTGTTTCCTGAAGCCTGAAAATTTTCCTTGGTGGGTTTGAAGAAATTAAATAATAGCCAGATATGCATCCTTTCTTCTCTGCAGCTGCTAAAGATAATAGTAATTCATGATTTTTGGGTAAGGTCAGACGCTAAAAGCACTGTGTGTCTGCTGCAGGCTCTGAGGTTTCAGGAGAAATAAAGATGAAATGCAATCTTCTCTTGCAGAGAAGTTGATAAACATCATCATGCAAGGACCTTTTCACATCTTGATTTTCTGTCAAATCATAAACCATTCCTCTAAATTTGCTTCAGCTGTATAATCATAAAAACTTTATATAAACCAACATTGAGTTAGTTTAATTCTTCTCAAAGATGGCAGAGCAGGAAACCTGCTGAAAATACAATGAAAGCTCTTCCAAGCATTCTCATGGTTATTTATACAGAGTTACTTCTGAACTATCTGCATCATAGACTACTGTAAATTTTTACAAAGGCTTCTGCAAAGGGGTAAATTTTTAAAAATGGGCTTATTCATTATTTAAACTGTAGCTGATCTTCTTAGTTGTTCAATATTTGATTAACTTGTAGGCAATTTGGAAAAGACCACTTTTCTCCTGGGAAAAATATGTTCCAAAATATTTAAATAATTAAATAACATTCCAAATAAGTAAATTAATAAATCCTTCTGCTCTTTATCTCACATTCTGTTTTTCAGCTGAGGGATAGATATTAGAGGACTATTGGTAATGTTGATGGGAAAAAAATGTCCTTAAATTGAATTATCAGAGCAATGGGGATGTATAAAAACACTCAAAAAAGGTCTCCAACACAAAAGAATAATAGCATTCAAATCTTGGTACTTCCTATGGGTGAAGAGAAAGTGTTGAGGTTTTCCACCTTAGAAAGTAATAGACCTTTGTTATAGACTTTACAGAAGGTTATTAACAGTTCTCTGTAGCGCTTGGAGGTTTTTATGCTTAGGTACCTGTATCCTTGCTGATGTGGAGGATTTGAGGCTGCAGACTGAGACATGAACATTAATGAGGTTGACTCGGGATTACGCTCCTCATCCCGTGTCTGTCAGTGACACCAGGTCAGACTTAACTCCACAAGGAGTTTCAAGGAGATGAAGGGAACTGTTCCAAAGGTGCAGGGTTGCTTCAGGGTGTATAAATGGCAGAATAAATACTTGTAAGGTGGTCATTTATGGTGACAATGAAAGTTTTTCCTTTAATCTGAGAAGGTGATGAGTAATCAAAAAGGATGGACAGGTAGTATAAATCTCTCAATATATGCCACTGTCTTATCTCTTTTTCATGTCTTATTAAGGGTATTACCTACAAATGGCTGTCTGGATTTCTCTTAGTTACCAGTGCAGTTAGAATTCAGTGGTATCCTAGAAGCTTTACAGCCTGGTTTCTTGCACGCTACAAAAATGTCCCTCATCAAAATTCAGTTTGTTCTTGTCCTCCCCAAGCTGCAATCTGATCTAGAGAGTGTTGCTTGAACTCTGCTTGATTTATTATCCTTTCCACTTTTGCTCATTATCACTAGGTAACCTAATTTACCAGAGCTCAGGTATCCTTTTCATGCTGATTAAAAGCATCTCTCTCTCTCTACTTGATACAGACCTGTTTCCTCCTACTTGAAAAAAAGTGATGATCCTGTTTGTCACTTCTCTTTGTTTGAATGTATAGCTAAATCTTCTTGCAGAAGTCCCATATTTTACCTTACTCTTGTCCCTTGTTAGTATCCACTGAGTATTAATCAAAGTTGACTAGTTGTTGCTGTGATTTAACAAAGCAGGTAGCTAAACACCACACAGCTGTTTGTTCACTACCCCCTCTTCACTCTCTCTGGGTGAGAGAATCAGGAAAAGGTAAAACACATGGGTTGATATAAAACCAGTTAATTAGGAAAAAAAATGGGGGGGGAAATAATAATAATAATAATAATAATAATAATAATAATAATAATAATAATAATAATAATAA